GACTAATCCATAATATCTATAATAACATTTATTTTTATATGTGTATATTATATACTTAAAAATTGTTGTTTCTAAAATCTCCAAATGGTTGTTTTTTAAATTTATATAAAGCTTGAAAATCCTTACGAAATGGTGAGAAAATTTCTCAAAAATTCCGTTAGCTCTTCAACAGACAAAACCCTAGTTAATCAAATGTACCTTTCTTACCCTCGCACCCTACCATCAAAACAGACCCAAAAAAATCACCCATAGCAAGTAAAAAATTGCATTGTTCAAACCCAAGAAAAAATTCGATTTTTGCCTATTTTTAAATTTCACATCTTTTTACATTAAAAAATTGCGCATTATTGAGGCACAATATTGCCCTAGCATAGGGGTTGTTAGAGACTGCAGCGCCATAGACCAAAACAGTGAGAGAGAGAGGGAGAGAGCGATAGATAGGTTGTGTGTGTACAAGTGCGTTTGCTCTGCAGCTAAGCTGTGCAAGATCTTTGGTAATCCTTGACAATGATCCTCAATTTTTACCCTTGAGTTTCTTTTTTACCTATTTTCTTGCCCAAAAAAAGGAAAAGAAAAAATTTTCGCTACGCATTTTCAATAAAAATCAAGGAAAATGCAACGGATTTTTTTCTGTCCGAAGGGTTGCATTTGTCAGCAATTTTTGCTGTTTTTTTTCTTGTGGCTGGATCGAATTCAATAAACGTTAATAAATATCACGGCAAAGAATGGAACAGTATTGAGGCATGACGAAGAGGAAGAAGAAGATGAAGACTAAAGACGGCGCTTAAAATGCGGAAGTAAAGGGACATTTTATTCCTTTGCTCTTTCTTTGCTTTTTTGCTTTATTTTGAAGGCTGTTTACTTCTTTTTTTTTTGTGCTCGCGGCATTTCCGTTAAGAATTGATTTGGGGTTTACCTTTGATTTGCTATCGAAAGGTCCTGCTTTTCCACTTATTTTTGGCGCGAATTTATCAGCAGTTGGGCAAATGTTGAGCGGGTTAACCCAAGGGTTCTCAGTTGAGAAGGTGAAAAGAAGTGGAAATTTTAAAGGACTGCGACAGAGAATGTTCTAAAAGCCTCGAGAAATTTGTATGTGATTTAAATTAATAATAATAATTTTATAAAAGGAAATTTAAATAAATATTAAATATGGATGGAATTCACATAAATTTTTATTTTTTATTTTATTCAAATATTTTATTTAAATTTTGTCAGTTTCTTAACGATTCTGTTGATATTTCGCATACCAATTAAAGCCAATTGCACAAAATAGAATAACAAATTAAGGTAAACTTTAGACACAGCTAGCTACAACCCTCTATTAAGAGAAACAGACAAAGTCAAAGAAGAAGAAGCATACGAACTAGCCTCAACTAGTCCCATTTTATTTGCTAAACGCAAATTGGGATGTCATTTTAATGCAACACCAACAACAACRACAACGACAACAAGGACTCAAGTCAACCACTGAATTTCCTACTGCCAGGGGCTGTACGCTTTTCATGCAAAGTGCGTCGTCCCCTTTTTGGTTCGATTCTGCCAAGCGTTTATTTTCTTGATTAATTTCAATGTTCGAGCAAAAACTTTGTTGCTGTTCTCCCTTTTTGTGTGGAATATTTACATGTGTCTGTCTCTCTCAGTGCTTTTCTTTCTCTCCCCCCGCACTCTCCCGTTCCAGCTGTCTCTTCTCTGTCTGTTTTTGGCAAATAATCAAATTGGACTTCGCAAGCGACTGCAGATTGTTTATCTTTTGTTTCATTCCGTGACAAGTTTAATCAGGCTACGTGGAGCAGGACACACAGAGAATATACGCAGGACACACTGCAGGGCTTGTGCAGGACAGCAGTCAAAAGGATAACTATTGAAATTAGTTGGCAAGCCATACAGCTTTTCCTTTAAGCGCTCACGAAAAAGGGACGCAGATTTTCCTATTGATTTTCCTCGAAACGCATTTTTGTATTCTTTCCCACTTAAATCATTTTGGCACTTTAATGAGAATGAAAAAGAGAAGGCCAAGAAGATTGAGCGAGAGAGAGCGAGAGAGAGGGAGCAAAAGAAAAGGGGCTGCTTGTCCTGCGGTCTTTCATATCCTGCTTCAACATTAATTTTGCAGTTTTAATTAAAACATTTTGCACCACACAAACAAGAAGTGGGACGCACATTTTGCCCCTTTAATATACCCTGTATAAATTAGTGTATATGTGCAAGGGAATAGAAAAAGATAATAATTTTGGGCACATATGCTTAAATTTTTAATTCACATTCCAAATCACTGTAACTGATTAAATGATATTAATTAAAGAGGACACCTTGGACACACATAATAAAAGCAGAAAGGATATAAGTATTATCTGCAGAGTAACCTACTGCTTAGAGGTGATATTTATTACACAGCATCAGCATTCTTGAGAAATTGTCTCTGAAATGACATCAGTCAAATTTACACAGTATCCTATAGCTGCGCTTTCTTTCTCTGCTTTTGTAAACCCAAACCAAAGCCGTCTCTGGAATCCAAGTCCTTCCAGCATTTCTGCTACCCACTCATAATCATAAAATGTATTCTCTGTCACCACCCACAAGTTTCCTATAGGAGACATAGCCTAGCTCTACACCTCCCCATCCTCAAGGACCCGCCACATGCCCCACTTCCCTTCTTCTTTGTGCACACATCGCACGTCGGTTGCAAGTGGCAAATGCTTTCGCGCTGTTGCCTTTCTGCAGTGATGCAAAAAGTTTTTACACCGCCAACTCCGCAATGCCAAGCCCCCCTCAATAACTTTCATATATAGAAAAGCAGAAGCAGGAAAACAACAACAATGCGCTCCATACTTGTTGTAATTATTCCCTAAACTCCAAACTCTGAATGGTGTTTAGTGTTTATATAATAAAAACTTATGAAGCGCACACAAATACACATGCACAGACACATACATTTACATGCATCTGCATTTTGCTCAATTTCCAACATTTATATACTAATACACACACACATAAATAAGCACACGCTTCATGTAAAGTCATCCAATAAGCTCAAACACCTTTATGTGCGCTCACACACACACGCACACATCCTAATTATGATCCATGTACTTGAGTGCAAGCGAAATATGCAAAAAGAAATATTTAACGGCAACTGCGCAGCTCCGCAGCTAGCTGCTATTAATGCACATGCATATGTATACGTATATGTGTGTGTATGCATATATAGCGAGCGCATTGGCCACACCCATTTCACTCAAACTCTATGCTAATGCATACCAAGTGCTGCGCAGGGGTAGATATGCAACGGGACAATGACAACACAAAGTCTAATCAGAATGCAGGCAGCCACAGCTGAATACGTTCCACACCGACACATTCACTCACTAGCTCACTCACACTCGCACTCACTGCTCTACGTAATTTAACTCAACTCTAACGGTGCAGGGTTGATAACGGCCTGAGCACAAACATTTGAGCGCAATGCTGTAAGCAAATGCGTGGCAGAGAGTGAGTGAGCGGGCAAAGGCAACAAAGAAAACTAGGCAAAAGGAGAAAAAAAAAAGCAGCACCAACTACAGCAATTGCTGCTGCAAATCATAAAGCATACACTCAGACACACACACACACACAAACTGAGGCAGGCAACTGCAGCGACATCGACAGCACTGTGTACCGTTTGTCGCTGGCTTCGTCGTTTCAGTTGCATTCGGCAGGCGAACGAAGTCGGTTCGGCACAACTTTTAGTCGTAGTCGCAGTCGCCAACGCAGGTGCAGTCGCAGTGCAAAAGCCGTAATTGTTATTGCTTTTTATACGATTTAAATTCTAACTAACTTCTACAAAACGAGCTGGCAACTCTGTTCGCGTGCTCACTGTGACTTGCAAAAAAAAAAACAATCAAAAACTTTTTGACAGAACAATCGCATTTACATATATATTAACGAAAGCCAGTGAAAAGTGAATTAAAATTCTCGAACATTTTGTGCATGCATAAAAAGAAAAACTATTAAAAAAAAAAAAAAAGAAAAAGTATCAAGCTCAAGAAAAATAAGATGATGTTGCTACAGCAGCAACAACAGCGCCGTCTGTGGGATGCCGCCAAAGCAACAACAACAAAAACCCCAACAGGATCCTCAGCTGCAACAACAACATCGACAGAGACAGCAGAAGTCGGCAACAAATTGGATTTGAATTTGGATGATGCAGCTGCGAAACGTCGAGGCATTCGTCAAATGCAACGCAAGGATCAGGAAGACACAAGACACGCATGTAGGAGACTATATTCCATATTCTAACCATAAGTATACACTGCGATAGCGTTGCCATATAGCCACTCTAACTAAGCAAAGCTTGCCGAAAAGCTTGTTTTGCCAGCGTCTGCTGTAAAGCTTAGCTGGATTCGTTGGTTTGCTTGACTTACCGTTAATTGTTGCGCTTTTTTACAGCATTTACTTCTACTATCGAGATTTAATTCTTGTTTATTTAATAATTAATTAATTAATCACCTTATTTTTTTTTTCTTT